CCACACACACACACACACACACACACACACACACACACACACACACACACACACTGTTTATTTGATGGTCTATTTTCTCCCTGTGTTCTCTTCAGTGGCTAGGTACAGCACCTTCAAGGTGTGCCAATAGTCAGCATCTGTTTGTTAAAGTGCTTGCAAGGGCGGCTGCTGTGTTCGGGATGCCTGTGCCTCTGTCTTTCTTGGTGGTGACACTCCTGGCTCCTAAGTGCGGCGTGAGCCTACAGTCTGCAGAAATTTCCACATGATCTCAGAGGGTGATAGCCCACCTTGATCTTTCCTGCATTTCCGTGTTGTTGTTGTTGACGATGTCCTGCCTCTGTGTCGTTGCTGCCATCCTGCCTGGCATCCTGCATGCCTAATGTAACTGTGTCGCTGTCTATCATATAGGTAGGTGATCTAGTCTGCTTCAAGTCTAAGGAGCTCGCTCCAGAGGAGAACATGTCACAAAAGCTGTTACCCGTGTATAGGGGACCGTGGCCTGTCCTAGAAGTGAAAGGTGGCGAGGACGGACCTTACACATACCCAGTCTTCCATGCGTCCAAGTTGTTACCTTGTGTCACCAGCCAGCAATTTCCATCGTGTCGATCGATGATTCCGCCGGATATGGATGGCACGTATGATATAGATCGCATTGTGGAAGAGGATGTGTTTAGGACTTGAGGTAGGGCTCATCCACAGAAGCAGTATAAAGTTCGGTTTGCTTATCAGGAACCAGAGGACGACCGTTGATTTACAAGAACAAAATTTTTAGAGACCACTCCCGACATAGTCCACGCATGACAGAGAAAGGAAAGGTTAAGGTCCTGCCCTACACTAAGTATTATCGGAGGACCTCGAATTTAGGCCGGCGTCAGTGGAACGGTTTTCAACTACTAAGGTGACAGATGCAGTACCCAGGGCTCGATCCCTAGACTTACCCCTTCACCCGTGTATAGTACCTGTTGACCCATGTGCTTGAACCCGCGACCTGTTTCCCAAAAGTCGTGTGTTTGGCTGTTGTTTATAGTGCGATTGCGAGAGTTTGACCCGTAGACCTTAGGATAAGCGGTCATAAGTCACTATAGGTCGTAGCAGCTACAGTACCGAAGGGTCAATACTAGGACCTTCTTGAAACTGTACGACTGACTCTTCATAGACCTTATGGGTCAGTCAGCAGCTGAGTCAGCAAGGGGCAGTCGTAGCACAGTCAGCAAAGGGCAGCAGCAGCCCTACCTATCCTAGTCAGCGGTACCCAGTTCCAGGTCGCACTGTCCATTCAGCAAGTACCAAGTGGGACTCTGTGCACCCTGGGCCCAGGGTCCAAGGGCAGACCTACGACGGTCCGAAGAATAAATAAAGAGGGCAGCGTCAAGTCATTCATTCATTCTGCCTGAAAGCCGTGCGGAAGCACTGTCGGAGCGTCTTGTGCTACGGAGGTCTGCAGGTGCCCAAAGGAGAAGTGGGCTAAGAGAAGGAAGACGCAGCCATAACCGCGAGGTAGCCTGTGGGAGGTAGAAGACGGCAGCCATAGTTGCCCGTAGGTTAGTGGTAGAGAGTGTGTGTTTGTGTCGAGCTTGTGCGTGTGCGGGACATCCAGGGAGATTCTAGACTGAGCGTGTGTGTGTGTGAACAAGTTGCTGGAGGATACAGTTGATTGGGTGGGAATCTTTGTCTGGCACCATGCGCCATAACCATTAAGACAAGTTTGAATCTGAGCTGTGTTCCTGGCCACGTGTTTGTGGGCGCTACGCGCCTAGTTTGAACGTCATCCGTTTGCACGCATGCTGAAGACGAAGACAAGTTTGATTTCAACAGCAACTCACACAGAGAGCAATTTCCACAGAACCACTGCAGCTTTGTGCACAATGCCATGACGCATATAAAATAAAATGAAGATGCCTGCAAGGAGTCGCAGAATCACAAAGGCCCAGCAGTAGACCATGTCATTTGCAAATGGATGCATGCATCATACAGGGCCTGAACAAGCAACACACATGACCACAAGCAAGGGGAAATCTCAGCCAACCACAGTCCGAGTACTGACTCAGAACATTTGGTTTTGGTACCTCTGCAGTTTTTGCCCGTCTCTCTGTCTCCTGACAAGCCCTCTCTGCATTTGCACAAGCTGCCTCTGCCGCCTCGAGCTTCGCCTTTACCTCGGCCACGGCCTTATCTCGTGCAATTATCAAATCCCTTGAATGATTCCGTTCCATTTCCAGCTCTTTCTTGGACTCTACCCACTCCCGCTGCAGAATGAGAATACAGTAAAGATTGGAAAACACAATTCCTCAGTAAAACCACATGCAAGGCAAACAAGCGCTTGACAAGCTCGAGGTAGTTGCTAAGACATGCTGAGCCATGCAATCCTTCTCGCAGAATCCTCTGTGCCTTAATTAACTTGATAATGAATAGTCCAAATGAATGAAGATTATCTATCACACACTGATCTGTCCCCCTATGCAGATGTCCTTACCTTGATCTCCGAAGCCCTGAAAAGCATGTGCTGAGTTAGTAACCCATAACTGCTGAAACACCGACCTGAATTTAAATCTACACCCTATGTTGTTGGTCTGCTGCTGCCCTGCTCCAAGTTCGACGACTGCCCTTTTCTGATTATGTGAAATGACTCTTTGCTCTCTCTCTCTCTCTCTCTCTCTCTCTCTCTCTCTCTCTCTCTCTTGCTTGCGTACGCACATGTATATACACACACCCCGCCAAACAAAAACAAAAAAAAATGCGCGCATCACGAGCGCACCACAAATTTGTGCATGGCGCATGGCGCACGCAAACCGCATGAAGCACCACATGGGTGCACCGTAAGTATGATATGTAGTCTTTACTCTTAAGATTGTTTGTACATTGTCTATACACTGTCTACATTGTCTATACACTGTCTACAATGGCTATACATTGTCTATACATAGACTCTATACGCATAGTCCATACACAGTCCATACATACTCTATACACAGATCCATGTGTAGAGTATACTCTATACATAGTCCATCCATAGTCTATACTCTATACACAGTCTATACATAGTCTTTACATTGTCTACATA